GCAAAGGTATTGCGAGGGAACGCAAAGGTATTGCGAGGTAACGCAAAAGTGTTGCGAGGGAACGCAAAAGTATTGTGAGGGAATGCAAAGGTATTGCGAGGGAACGCAAAAGTGTTGCGAGGGAACGCAAAAGTATTGTGAGGGAATGCAAAGGTATTGCGAGGGAACGCAAAAGTGTTGCGAGGGAACGCAAAAGTATTGCGAGGGAACGCAAAGGTATTGCGAGGGAACGCAAAAGTGTTGCGAGGGAACGCAAAAGTATTGTGAGGGAACGCAAAGGTATTGCGAGGGAACGCAAAAGTGTTGCGAGGGAACGCAAAAGTATTGTGAGGGAACGCAAAGGTATTGCAAGGTAAACAAAAGTATTGCGAGGTAACGCAAAAGTATTGCGAGATAACCTAATATTGCAAGAGAACGCAAAGTTATTGCGAGGTAATGCAAAAGTATTGTGAGAGATTGCAAAAGCATTGCGAGGTAACGCAAAAGTATTGTGAGGTAACGCAAAAGGCTTGCGAGGTAACGCAAAAGTTTTGCGAGGTAACGCAAAAGTTTTGCGAGATAACCTAATATTGCAAGAGAACGCAAAAGTATTGTGAGGTAACGCAAAAGTATTGCGAGATAACCTAATATTGCAAGAGAACGCAAAAGTATTGCGAGATAACCTAATATTGCAAGAGAACGCAAAGTTATTGCGAGGTAATGCAAAAGTATTGCGAGAGAATGCAAAAGTATTGTGAGAGATTGCAAAAGTATTGCGAGGTAATGCAAAAGTATTGTGAGGTAACGCAAAAGGCTTGCAAGGTAACGCAAAAGTTTTGCGAGGTAACGCAAAAGTATTGCGAGATAACCTAATATTGCAAGAGAACGCAAAAGTATTGCGAGGGAACGCAAAGGTATTGTGAGGTAACGCAAAAGTATTGCGAGATAACGCAAAAGTATTGCGAGGTAATGCAACAGTATTGCGAGSTAAAGCAAAAGTATTGCGAGAGAACGCAAAGGTATTACGTGGAAAAGCAAAAGAAAAAAATCCCCCTATGTCCCCTCACGCGCTCCGAAGATTATGACACACTTTCAACAAATTTAAAAAAAACTAGAGTTCCAGTTTTAGCCACTCAGAACAGAGCAGGGTGGATCTGACTGAACCAGAGAGCATCAAATATCTTCATATTGTGTTTTATTCAGTCACACACGAGATGCTTGGTTGTTACAGCAGAACAACAACGACCTTATTTATAGTTTAATTTTCATTCATTAAAAGGGTCTTGAAGAGTCTTAAAATTTGATTTGTTGAATGTTGTTGATTGTTGATTTGTTGAATCAAACAAACTGAATCCAACCGAAAATCTAACAATTTTATCAGACTAGTTTTCAACTTTTATTAAATAAAAATACTTAAAAACCATAAACCCATAGAAATTAATTCAGTTTTTAAAAGATTATCATTCACTTTCATGTTCTTTATCTTATCTGTAATCACTAGATTTGATTTCACCCAAATAATAAAAGCTAATTAAGCAGATAAACCGATAATTTATGGTTTAAACATTGAGAGTTTTTTGTTGTGAGTTGCAGAAAATGAAAGCAGGTTAGAGTGAATATTTGCAGTTGAACGTTTTGAACCGGCCTGTTTGTTCCTCCCAGGCTCAGGCTTTTTATGAACGCGAGCTGGAGGCCATGAAGAGGACCCAGCAGCTGACGGCCGACAACCTGCTGGCGTGGAAACGCACCGAGGCCGAGCTGCGGCGCGAGTTTCAGACCCAGGAGGCGGCGCTCCAGAAGACCCTGGGCAAGCTGAGGGCCGAACTGGCCCGCGTGTCGGACGAAGCCCGGGAAAACCGCGAGAAGTCCTACAAGCTRCAGACGTCACTCACCGCAGCCGAGAGCAGCGTCAAGGTGAGCCAGGGCCATGACTCAGCACTTCTGATGGTAAAACTGTACTTTTTGGTTTAATCTGGCAAATTTAACCTCATCAGCTTTGATATAAAACATGTAAATTAAAACATCAAAACCAAGGAGGAAACCAGGTGACYGTGTGATCTGCTAGTGAAGCTAACGGCTAACGCTAATTTTGCTAAATTGAAGCTGAATTTAATGGTTTGAATTTGAATAAATTTGCTTTGAAAATGTATTTTGTTCTATTAAAAATGTTCTATTAGATCAGGGTTGGTCAATCCTGGTCCTGGAGGGCCGCAGCCCTCCATGTTTTATGTTTTTCCTGCTCCAACACACCTGATTCAGTCACTGATTTACCGTCTAAGTTCTGCAGTATGGAGGACCAAAACTGACATAATTATAAATAAAAGCAAAAATATATAAATGAACCACTAAATAAATAAATACACTTAAAATGCACCAATTCAATTAAAAAAAGAACTTCACATCATGTTTTGTTATTTAA